GGGAGGACGAAATCACAGGAAACTTAAATACCTCCGAGACAGGCGCCGAAGGCTAGCGCCCAGATGAGCGGCTGAAGAGGAAGACCCAAAGTCGAGGACTCGTCCCCGAGCCTCACCACGATCCGCAGCATCATAGCCGTTAAGGGGATGTTGTCAATGATGGCGGAAGAAATGGCGGAACTCCACAAGATGAGAATGATGGCGACGGGGAGCCTGGCGGACGGTGGCAGGCTCCCGATCCACGACTCCACCAGACCACCCAACCACATCAAAAGCCCGAGTCGATTCATCGCCTGTCAAAAGCAAACCTCTCACCAACCGTTGCAACCTATAACGTATGGCAGAATGACGGCAATGCGTGGCCGAATTCTCGTTCACGTCTTACGACGTGAGAGCTAAAAGACATCATTCATCATTTAAGAATATGTACTGCTGGTGTCCATCCGAACTCGTAGAAACCTTCGTCATTATATTGGCACATGAAACATGCAACACAGATTTTAGAATGACTTTTTTCAATCACATAAATCTATAGTCGAAAATTCGTGAATAGGTATGTTCTTCGTTGCTCTGAGGGCTTCGTTCTACCATTTAGGTTGATTTAAAAAAACTGCAGCTCAGTAGCAGTACGGATTCAGTTTCACTTCAGTTGCAATTCTAGTTTGAATTTCTTTGCGTTGAAAGTCGACGAGAGCGCAGTGGAACCGAAGTCACACCAAAGTCTGAATTAAAACTAGAACCGAACCGCAACTGAACTGACGTTCTGAAATCAACCTTTGTCAAGCTAATGATATACTCTTGTTTTCTCCTTATTTTTGCATAATGCAGACAGTAAGTTATTCCCTCTGCTTAAAAGGGAATAGAAATTTCCCGAAACCCAGAAACACAGTTCTTTGTGGCACGCGTACCTATTCAGACTTTGAAAATACCACTTTACAATGTTTATGTTAAATATATGTTAAATGTCTGTATTACATCTGAAAAAACGAGAGAATTTCCTTGAACACGTCCGTCTGACTACGGGAAGCATGAAACAAACCTCCATGACAACGAAGAGAGCGGCGAAGAAGAGGAGGGTGCTCCATTCCACCCTCGAGATGATGTGTTCCACATTGGAATCCTTATCCGCCAGGGCGAGAAGAGTCACCGCACCCAACACAGCCACCCAGCCCAGGCTCAAGTGTAAAGACTCCACCTAAGCGAAAAAATACCCCAGGCAACTTTTTACCTTCACCGGCCAACATAGGTAAAGATATTCAGATACCTAAGCCAAACCTTGATACTGTAGAAAGCACCTCCGATTATAGAGCCTGCGCCCCTCATTTATTTATTTGTTTCTTTCAAACAATGAAATGGTTGATCATGTTTGCTTTTAGTTTTAGTGGATTTTTTCTAATTTTGTTCTGTTTATGGCTTTAAAATCTGATCAGCATTGTCTTATTCCAGCCAGCTTCATTATTATGATGGCAAGGATTGAATCGAAACGCTAAAAC